ATCGTTCAAATGTTTTTAAAGGCTCTAAAAGAGCAATTATTATTTTACTGAAGGATACAAAATTGATTATCGTCAATTCTATATTATGCATTCTTATGCCCCTTTTTAATATTTTGTACTATATTAATGTAAGAAAACACACAATAAATTTTGATGTTGGAAAATAAGGAAAATTAACTTATATCTACAAAATAAGAAAATATAAACACTTGAAAATTTTTGGAGGAAAAATGTGGTTGAGATTTATAATTTCGCTTAACCGTCACCTAATTAATTTCTTCACAAGCCAATTAACAAATTACTCAGTTATGATATTAGACTCGATTTTCCAATTTTAGTTAATTATCTCTCTCGAGCGAAATTAACCATAATACATTGGTTTAACCTATTATATCTATATGTCGATTAAAACCAAATAATCACATTAAATCGTAGTGAAAATAACTCAATGGATCACCTAGGGTTAAGAGTATATCTATATCCCCTATACAAACTTAGAGTATTTACTAATTGGTCTAAAATATACAATCTTTTCTAGAACAATATACAAATCACTAAACACAATCATTTAATGGCCAAATAAATGAAAATCATTCAACACAACAATAAATACACATGAAAATAAGCATTTTAGCATTAAAGAGCAAATATTAAAATTAAGTTAGGTTAAGTTACTACCATAAATCCCAATACAAATACGTCAATTTTATACAAATGATAAAAATGAGAATATTTAAAACAATACATTACAAATATGGCAAAATAATTGAGAAAATACAAAGTTATAGATAAAACCTTTTTTTTTTTTAAGCTTGGCCCTGATTTTCCTAAAATTTTTCTCCAAATGTTTCAATGTATTCTCCTTGTACTCTTGATTTGTATTTCCAAATACCAAAAAATTGAAAAGGAAAAGAACCAGCCGGAAGAAAGAAAAAACCGAAGGCTGCTGGGTCCCATTTTAAAAAAACCTAATTTCTGAAATTGCAGCTTTGGTCCCCAAAGTTTCATACAAATGGCAAAAAGGTCCCCATACGTTTTAAAAGTGGCACCTAGGGGCCATGAGGGGGCGCCTAGGCGCCAAGTTTCTGTCCAAAACAAAAATATTAGTTCTATCTGCAGCCAAGTCCCTTAGGTAATTGCATGATTGGTCCCTCAACTTTGATCTCGTACAATGTGGTCCTCAAATTCACAATTTTGTACACCTTTAGTCAATTTCCCTCCTTTTGTCTTGTTTTCTTTTCTTTCGGCGATTCTTACCTACAAAAGCAATAATTACATAATTGTGAGTAGAAATTCGCTTATTTTTATCAATAATAAGCATATTTAGGTATTAAATAAGTGTGCAAAAACACACTTATCAAGAATATATAAATATGTATGTATAGACTAAACATTAGCAAAAAATAATGTAAGTGTGATATCGTTCAAATGTTTTTAAAGGCTCTAAAAGGGCAATTATTATTTTACTGAAGGATACAAAATTGATTATCGTCAATTCTATTTTATGCATTCTTATGCCCCTTTTTTATATTTTGTACTATATTAATGTAAGCACAATTAATAAAATACTATATTAAAGCAAAAGTTCAAATATTCTTATTATTTTATTATTTGGCATGATCGATTAGATTGCTGCAATTCAACAATGATGCAAGAATTATTGAGAATTCAAATGTATATTAATGAATAACCAAACGGTTCTTCCGTCTACTTGTTCTTACAAAATGTCATCCATTTTTAGGCAAATACGATTGACAAATAATCAAGAAGTCAACGTGAATAAATATTTTAGAATAATTTAGTACAACTAATAGAAAATTCATTTAATATTTTATATAGCTAGATCTAATAAAATTTCTCTAAATTTTATTAATAAAAATATTGACATTTATACCGTAGCAATATTATAAAATGAAAGTAAAATTTTCTTGATGTCAATTGTATATCGGGTAGGTTTATATGTTACAAGTGGAGTAATATTTCCAATATCATGCTTTTCATTGTTTGTTAGGAATAATACTCCTTAAGTTCCTTTATGCTTTAATTAATCCCTCGTCCACATGGCCGGACCCGGGGGGCATGTGCCCCCAGCCCCCAACTTTTGAGTTTAGGGTTGTGCTACCCATCATTGGTGGGGCGCGACATGCCCCCAACTTTTGAGTTATATATATATATATATATGGGTTGTGCTACCCACCAATGATGGAGTGTTGAGTCTCCATTATAGACACCCCTATGGGTACACTTATGTACCCATAGCATAGCCCTTTAAATTTTATAGGGGAAAAAATTTCAAAACTGACATTTTTGTAAAGATTATTAAAAGGTGATATTTTTGTAAATGTCAATCCAAAAAGTGACATCAGCGCAATTTCCTCTAAAAATTATTCATCTCAGATTACCAAGTCATCCTTGTACTTAACTCCTGTGGAAGGCAACCATGTATCTCCTGAAATAAATCGAGCCACTATAAACTGCTTCACTTAAGCCGAATATTTAATTATATGGTAACCGGGCCATTTCACTCGGCCTCCCAAGTCTGCCCCCGATCCATAGTTCATTTATTCTGTATAGAATAGTGCATCCAGGTACAAACTTCCNATATTGAATAATTCAAACAGATATAAAAAATAATTAAAAATGCGTTAAACGTGAGTTTTAAAGAAAGACGTTTAACTCGTATTTTCTTTTAAAAAATTCAATTATTTCATTAACATTTATTATTTTTGCAATACGAATTTCTCAATTCAATTTTCATCCTTTTATTAGGAAATTTTATATGTAATATGACATAAATTTTTTTAGAAATTTTATATCTGAAAAAGTTATATCCGGTGTAAATTTTTGGATGCAAAATTATACGGTATATAATTTTTTGGGACATAAAATTTCTCTCAATTTCTTTGTAAGTTCGATTGTGCTCCCTGACTTTAAATTTCTACGTCCGCCCCTGGCCCCCGGTCGTCTATCTCCACTTGTATTTGTTATTTATTTGGAAGGTAAGATACATAAATCTTCCTCTTTCCCTCTTATAATATATCATTTTTTCAACAATAGAATGAAATCTCATGCTTGGATTTTCGAGTAGAGATATTTTTGCTAAAGAAATAAAAATTAAAAAATTAAAACCATTTATTTTTTTAAAATTTAAATTTAAATTAATGAAGAAGACAAATATAATCATTTATATATAGCACAAGGAAATAGGGCAAAATGGAAAATTTATGTTAAGAAGGTATGTTTTTGAAATTTTAGAAAAGAAAAAAGTTTATCTATGTTATTGTCAAAGGTGGTTATATTTAAGTGTGGTCGTGGTCTAGTTCGATCCGTTTATGAAGAGATTCGAACCGAATCGAGTACCAATGAGAGTCTTAAAAATAGAATCATTGGTTACATATCCAACATTCCAACTATAGAATCAAATAGGAATCAGAATCAGTTCGATTCGATCCAATTCTTCATATAAAAATAAAGTATGAAACTACTCGTCGATTGAAAATAGACAAAAATAAAGTATGAAACCACTTCTCATTATTTTATTCTAACAATATGAAAAATCAATTGAACAAAACAACAAACAAAAATCCACTCTAAAACTTAAGATCAACTCATGAAGGCAAGAATAATATAACTATTAAACATAGCATAAACAATTAAATTTCGATTGAAAAATAGTTTTTAAGAAAATTCGTATAACAGTAACCTGATTATCTTCTGTAATCCTCAACGATCTTGATTCTTGATGACCGATCACTTTGGAAATAATGAAAATTTTGAAATCTTATGAATATTGAACTACAAATATATATTTTTTCTATTGTGTTGCATTAAAGCTATTAATTTGTAAAGTATTTATAAAATTATTTAGACTTTAATTTTGATTTACCCATTAAAAAAAAGTATATGGAAAATGAAATTTTAACATGACAATAATTTTAGAGTCTAGCGTTCAAAGATCCAATGCATCTTGGTGCAAGCAAAAAGATAAATTTGGAAGGATTGAATTCACTATTGATTCTCAAAACAGTACCGAGAACTAGATCATAACAGATCGATTCTTGATGAATTGCCCCAAAATCAACATATTTAGTAGATGAATTAAAATCGAACAGACTAATTTATTTGGTTCGATCCGGTTGCACCAATTTTGGGAAAAACGTCCCCCTAGTTCTATTGACACCACAATTTTTATTTGTTACACCATATTTTAATTGCAGTTAAGCCTATCAATATTTTTTCATTATAACAATTATTTTCATTGAATTCTTATTTTCAATATTCCATTAATTAGTACGTTTCGTCCTTGATAATATTTTATATCAATATATTATTATTTTTGCTTTGAGATTAAAGAAAACTATTTGTCGCACTTTTTATTTATTTATTTTTAAATATGATGAAAAAATAAGTTATTTTTTTTTCATTTCAAAGAATTTTTGGATATAAAACTTTTATTAATAAAAAAGTTTTTAATTAATGAAAAGTTTGAAGGTAATAATGATACGAAACCATAGTCAAACGTGTAAAATTTCTCTTTAAGAAAACCACGATTTTTCTACATGTTGACACGTTCTTACAAAATAAATAAATTTTAAAGAGTTCATAGCAAAACACATAAAGTTTGACATAATGGCCATGTGACCACACACAATTGGGGGGCGCCTGGACCCACAGGGTGGATCCAAGTGCTCTTCCAATTATGTGTGGCCACATGATCATTATGTCAAACTCTATGGGTACCATTATGTACCCTTAACAAAATTCAATTTTAAATGATTGAATACTCACAATTCACTGACCAGCGCCCTCACCACTCTCACTATTCAACATTCCACCAACGCTCACGATTTTCAGATCTCTCTCTGTCTCCGCCATTCTGTCCGTCTGTGTTTTGTATTACTGAGTGTTTGCATTAGATCTCTGAGTTTCTTGTCATCTATTTATTGCATGTTTTATATCAAGGCAAGAATTGACTTTTGATACGAAGAACAAAGGAGAAAATGGCGGTTGGAACGTCCAGAAAAATATCAGCAGCCTCAGCAAGGGCACACACCAGAAAACCAAAGCAAAAGGCTTCCGTTGCAGGATTTTCAGGTGGACTTCGCTTAATTAAAATTTTTTTTTTTCCTGAACTCAGATTTTTCTCGATTCAATTAATACACAGTCAATTGTTGTGGTATCAAATACTGAGGTATATGAATGACGTGGGAAAAAGTTTGAGAATTTTATTTCAGATAAACGTCACTTTGAATTAATGACTTGTAATTAAGAAAACTGATATAAATAAATGGCACAGTAGATTTGGATAGAGTAGATGTGAAAGTGGTTTAAATTCTGTTTCTGCTTATCTTCTTATTTGTATTCTGTGTATAATTTACCTGATGCCCATTAAATCAATATTCACTTGATTGGCATATAAGCATGAATTTTCTAGCTGTTCCGGGAACTAAATTCTTAGAGAGAATTTTCTGAATTCTTGATCCTGCTTACTAAATTCACACTCTGTTCTGTTAATTTTCCATCTTATTGTGTTAGGACTGTTATTTACTTGTAAGTCAATGTTTTAGTAGTTAATTTGATTTTGATGGAAAAGTGATTATTTCCAAAATAAAATTCTGAGTAGCTTTCAATTTCGATTAAAAAGTGATGGTGCATTAAGACACTGTGTGCTGGGTAAAATAAGTGATTTTGTTGAAAATTGAAATATCTAGACTTTTGGTTCAAGTTGTTTGCATTATATGTGCAGCTATCAGAAGGTTTGATGCAATAAATTTCTTCGAAGTACATGGTTTGATATGTGCTTAATTATTGAATCAACCTCTAACTACTCCAATTAAAATACCTATTTCCCCAACTCTTTTCTGTTCGAACTGAAACATTTCAGGGGTGTATAAGAAAATTGCACTGGTTTCCTTCATCGGGTTTTTGGCATGGGCTTATCAGGCAACTCGGCCTCCTCCTTCCAAAACATGTGGCTCGCCAGATGGACCTCCCATTACAGCATCCAGAATACAACTTAATGATGGGAGACACTTGGCTTACAAAGAATATGGTGTCCCAAAGGATAAAGCGAAGTATAAAATAATCTTCGTCCATGGTTTTGATTGTTGCAGACATGATGTTTCTGCTATAACTTCAAACCTCTCCTCGGTAACAGCTTTTTTCGTGTTGTTTTGTGAATTTCTGAGTATCAATGTTATTATGTTGAGTATAACGTTATGTGGACTTACCTTTTTTTGAAATTCGTGCACAGGATCTTGTTGAAAGTCAAGGAATCCATATTGTTTCATTCGACAGACCTGGTTATGGAGAAAGTGATCCTAACCCGAAACAAACAGTTAAGAGTACTGCCTTTGACATTGAGGAGCTTGCAGATAAGTTGGGATTGGGATCCAAATTCTATATTGTTGGATTTTCTATGGGTGGACAGTTGGTATGGACCTGCCTTAAGTATATTCCTCACAGGTATAATGTATCTCAATTATAACTATTGGGGTTTCACAGAAGCATAGAACATGTTTGACTAAGGTTAAAAATAAGTAAATATTGCTTTTCTCTCCGAACATGTTGGGCCATGTTACTGTTTCTTACTTTGAAAAAAAGAGGTTACTTATTTTGAAAGAAACTCTTACCTCGTTGTGAAAATAAATAATGATTCCCAACTTGACTTGTAAAAAGAAGTATTTATACAGAACTTAATTATAAGTAAACTTTTTAAGCTAAGCCAAACATGCTAACAAAGTAGTGAAACCATTTTATATGCACTGAACTTCGCGTGGTTACACTTTTCCTCAAGTGAGAGCCTTAATTTTGCCCATCTTATGTAATTTTGACTGTGATCCTGAACAGATTGGCGGGAGCAGCACTTTTAACACCAGTCGTCAATTATTGGTGGCCTGGTTTACCTTCAAACTTGACCAAAGAAGCTTATGATCAGCAGCCTCCACAGGATCAATGGGCTGTCCGTGTTTCTCACTACATGCCATGGCTTACCTACTGGTGGAACACTCAAAAATTATTTCTGGGTTCAAGTCTTATATATCACAACCCAGCAGTTATCTCCAACCAGGACAGAGAACTTTTGCCTAGGATTCAATCTATACGGAAGGAGTATCAGGTAATCATGATGTATGTACTTTGATGCGTATTGTTTGGCTAAATAATGATGAACATCGTGCTAATTCCCCAATCATTTTTATCTAAGAAATGAATTTGATTGAAAAGAAGAAATCATATTTAATGGTATTCTGCTTTAAAACATCTCTGTTCAAATTAAGTTGATTTTGAAACTATTATGTTTGTTCTGTGAATACGTGTCTAAATGTATTTTTGAAATTCCTGTAAACCACTTTATGTTACTTGTGTTTTATAGCATTAGCCGTTAGTTTATGGTAGATATTTTGTGAAAGAAAAGAAGTATGGGTATCATTTATACTTGTATTTTCTTACAAAAATGTCTTTGGATAAAAATTACAAGGAGATTCCATCAGTACCTGTTTATGGTTTGATTAAATTAAAAAAAAAAAAAAGAATGAATGAAAAACAAGGAAGCAAAGAATCTCACAAGAGACTAATAAATTACCACTGTTAACATCAACCCGGAATAATTATTCAGTATGAGTTCCTCAACATTTCCAACTTGCTAATATTTGTTTCACGTAAGGTTTCTGATCGGTAATTACCTTTCTACTTTTTATCGTATAATTATTTTGAGCAAATTATTCAATGCAAATTCCAGAACATTTCCAACTTGCTAATATTTGTTCCACATAAGGTTTCTAATCAGTAATTACCTTTCTACTTTTGATTGTATAATTATTTTGAGCCTTAACAGCTAGGAAATATTGAAAATTGTCGAACTAGAGAAATTTATCCCCTTTACATATAAATCACAAGCACTTCTTCTATTTGACAGTTGAATGCATGCTAATAGTTGAATAGTCATCATAATACATCTTTCCTAGGTCCGCATTATCAAATATTATTGTTCACTATTGTGGAAATTTCATCGTGCCAGATGAGTTAATTTTTGAATTTATTTGGACTTACTATTATGTAATAATATGATTGTATTGTATAATTAAATGTGCATTTTAGGACAAAATACTTGAATTGCAGGATACATAAGAATATCACTGTATTAGCTACATGGCATGATACATCTCAACTCCAATATTAAACGCCCCTATTTTTGGCTCATGTTTATAAATTGTTTATAAACACTCAAGCCATCCATACATTTCGAGGGGACCAACAAGTAGTACTCACTTATCTATAACTCATTTCTATCTATTTATAATTTAAACCGTTTATAAACGCTTCCCAAACACGCCGAGTTGTATAAAATGAGTATCATAAGATACTGTGTTAGCTATGGATTTTGACTCCTTGTCACTTGCATTGCCTGTGTTTTACTTTTCTCTTCATTCTTTTTCATGAAAGTAATAGGATGCAGTTTGATTTGAAGTAGTTATTGGCTACTATTTTCTAATCTGCTGCAGCATTTTAGGTAAAATGATATGGGCAGAAACCTAAAATGGCATTCGTACGAGGGAATGGGCTGAGAATGAATTGGAAATTTGGATCACTGAGTCTGTTGTCAGTCCCTTGTTTTGTATAATAGATTCCAACTTTCCTGTTGGACTTTTCCACTGTCAAAATCACGGGATTTCCCACTCTACTTCCTACACAGCCCTCCAACAAAAGGATTAGGCCAGCCATTCCCTGATACCCAAAGAACCCCCAAACAAAACCAAAAATGACAGACTACCTTGCTTTTCTGCTGTTGTTTTCGGTTTTCCTTACTGCCTTTGCTCTTTACGCGGGTAACAACCCTCTGCCATGAACTCTCTCGGTAGTGTTTCTTCTCCAAATTCTTTGATCTAATTTTCAAACAAAGAATGAGCGAGAGATGCTTAGTCTACAACGTACGAAATGTCATTGGACTCATAAGAAATGCAAGAAACCTTGTTGTAAAAATGTGAGGTCTTGTCAACCAAATGGCACTAACATGTTTTCCCAATGAAATTTTTAGCATTTGTATTGAACCTATAGCTACAGTTACATCTCGATCCTTGACTGACCATTCCATTTTCTCCATAAGACCAAAATGAACAAAATTATATTGATAATGCTGTTTAACATGTATTCAAGTCAAGATCGAGAGAAGCACATTCTTAAAATTACAGCAACTATGATGCCTCAAATTTCTTTCTAGGTGCAATACATTTTTTTTTAACCATCCCCTTATAGCTGTTTGTATATGCATTTTCCAGTGAATTCAACAAGTTTTACTGCCTCAATTTTGCACATCTTTATGAGATATGTATATAAGGAGGCTGTGCTTCATATATCCTGTATTTTGTACTTTGCCTTATATGTTCTGCATGTAATCCAAAAGCAACTTGTATAACTCTCGTTTTATAATACTCTGGTCGTTTTCTTTTGCAACTTTTCTTGTTCAATTTTAACTACAGCCATTTTCTTTTCCAAAACTAACATTTTCCACGAATTTTTACTTTTCTGACATGGCCAGGCACAGGTGAGACAGCAAGGAGATTTTGTATCCCTTCACCGTGATTTGATGATTGGATTTGGGACCTGGGAATTTGATCCTACGGGTCTGGAGAACCCATTTTTAGAAAGTGAAGGTTCGGTTCACTTATGGCAGGGAGACGACGATAAACTTGTCCCTGTGACACCACAACGTTACATTGCCCAGAAGCTGCCATGGATTCAGTATCATGAGCTAGCAGGCGCCGGACACATGTTTCCATTTGCTGATGGAATGGCAGACTTGATCATAAAAACACTTTTAGCTGGATAGGCGCTCCATTCACAGAGTTATGTCGGTTTTAAATCTCAGCATTTGTTCTGGCGCATCTGCTCAGGTTTTGTAATATCACATGTTATACATTTCAGCTGTTGTGCACATTGGCTTGGGTTTTGAATCTCATATGTTACACAAATTTTCTTCTGGACATAATATTTTGACAAGATGTTTTATGAATACTAAAATGTTTATTTTGAATTAATCAGTGATGGAAGTGAAGGTGAGCACAATTCATGAGCAGTACTGGCTGCGGATTTGAGTGGCCAAAATTATGAGCATTAAGGCTGCTTTCACATTTTATTAAGTGACGCTTTTTAAGTGAAAACGTAGTTATAAGTTTGGATAAGTTTTTGATTTTCACAACCTCACATCTCATCATTTAAGCAAAATTTTGAAAAGCTATCTTTGCCTAAATACGCTTCCCGTTTGGTGAACAAAATTTGAAATAAAAAGCTCTATTATGTGCTTTGTTATCTTGTCACAAAAATTGAGTTCGACATGACACGTTCAGTGTGTTTCTTGAATTTTCTGGAACTAGGTTCAACCTTATTTTTACGATGTTCATAATTAATATTAATTTATTATCCAAAAGATTCACTAATCCTTTACATTATAATCCCATCTTATTTATCATGTTTTGGGGATGTAAAATTTTTGTGTCCGATGCCAATGGTGTAAGAAAACAAAGACAGACATGAAGTAGCTCTTAAAGAAGAGATTATATGCAAGTGCACAACGATAAGATCCTCTCAATGCTTCTCAATTACGCATGTCACAGCCAATTCTATTCATTTGGTGCAACTTTTACAATTTTTCAAATTATCCTTTTACCCCTCATTTTATACTCAACGAATTTTATTTCCTATTATGTCATTTTATTATTTAATAAAATAGTAAATAAGAAGTAATGAACAATAAATATTGAATACATCAAAATAAAATTATTCATTAAAATTCAAAAGTCACAAATTTGATAATTAAAAATTAAGAAGAAATTATTTTTTATATTGGGATTTAAAATATAATATTTTTTAAAATTGTGGTATTAAGTGTAATGGATTTGTAATTTATTAATAAATACAATATTTTAGTTAATTAAATGTAATTTTCAATTTAATAATTTAGGAGTAATATAATTTTAGAATAAATTAATTTTTGAAATTACAAATAAAGAAATAGAGGAAAATACTGTTCATTTGGTGCAGTGAGTTGGAGACGACTACAATGGATGGTGTGAAAGTTGCACCCTTTAGTTTCATGGATTGAAGATGGCCTTAATAAAATTACTTAAATTAAAATTTAAAGTTGAAAGGCGATTACAATTGATGTTGGGCAGCACCCCGTGCAAATAAGGTAGTCGATCGAGGGAAAATTATTCATTCAACCACAAAAATGAAACACCCTTACACAAAAACTCTCTGTGTGTGTGCTTAGGAACAATCTCAAATCTTCACCTTCATCACCCACCGGAAAACCACCTTGCACCATCATGTTCAGCAAATCATCTTTATAAGAATGGCATCGTATGTGAAAAGCAACTAGGTTCACTACCTAAGAACGAATAGCTATGTCAGTCAGCAGAAGAGGACGATTGGGCAATAATCCCACTCCTCCACCACCGCTAGTTTCGGAGGACCCACTAGCATCGTTGCCAAATGCAACCTTGGATCAGTAGTTTGAAGAGTTATTGAGTCAGAAGATAGATGTCTCAAAGAAAGAACAAATCACGACTTGTCCTAATCAGTGAGGACCCATTCAGTTTGGAGATTATGGTAGTACTGCTCCCTCTGAAATTCAAGGAGTCGAAGATCGAAAAATTCAACGTGACAACAAACCTAATCGATCATGTCAAAGTCTTTCAAGACCTGATACGACTGCATGGGTTACACGAGGTGCTAACATGCAGAGCTTTTCCAATGACTCTAAAAAAAAAAAAGGTTCAACCCCAACCGTCCCGCCCCTAGCGCATTGTAGATGAGATAAATTGTGGAATGTACCTCAACAGGTTAGGGTACAAGAGTTACCATACTCTAAGAAATTATGCAAGGAGGTAGTATGAATCATTACCACCACCGTCTATTACTTCATTCATCAATTTTGTAAACAAGTTTTTCACCTATTTCACGACTTGTCCTAATCAGTTTGGAGATTATGGTAGTACTGCTCCTTCTGAAATTCAAGGAGTCGAAGATCAAAAAATTCAACGTGACAACAGACCAAATCGATCATGTCAGAGTCTTTCAAGACCTGATACGATTGCACGGGTTACACGAGGTTGTAGCATGCACAGCTTTTCCAATGACTCTAAGAAATGATGCAAGGACACGATCTATTACTTCATTAATCAATTTTGCAAACAAGTTTTTCACCTATTTCCAAAGCAGTTCCCTAAAAGAAAAATAAAATAAAATTAGTAACCTAGCTTATGTATGCGATCTAGGGCAAGACAAACCTTTGGAAGAGTATGTTACCTTGAGTATAAAAGGTATCCAAATGTCTTCGGTTGTCATGACCCTAGTAAACAGTCTTAAGATCAACGAGTTCAAGACTTTCTTGTCCAAAAAGGCCGTTCGAATATATGATAGAGCTGTTGAGGCGGGAAAGTACATAGATAGTGAGCAGGTAAAAGAGACTATCAGAGAACTTTGTGAAGGGCGAGAGATTGTGATCAAGAATAGAAAAAAAACATTAGATCGTCTTCTCAATATATTGAAAAAAATACCAGCCTACGCTAGTTGGCATGTCTCTTTGTAGAAGTAGTATTCAAGTTGAACTTTGCTTCCTCTTTTGACCAAGTGGTAGGCAAGTTGGATTTGGTTTCTTCATACAAGTTGCACAGGTTGGTACTCACAACCTGCTACAGTCAACGGTATTTATTCTATTAGGTAAACCAACGATTTTCTAAATTATTTAAGAGGTTAGAAAAACCAACGATTTTTCTATTTAGTGGCACTCCTACATATTTAGGAGGTTAGGAAAACCAATTGTTTTTTCTATTTAAGGGCAATATATTTAATTCAATTATATTAGCTATTTAATAAATATGAGCTAATTGAGTAAATACCAATATTGTTATAATTATGGGATTATGGGAACTCTAATTGAGCAATATATAAAGACATTTTTTGTTATGGTTCCCAAAATACCAAATTATACATAGTTTCCTTTCTCTCCATCTGGAAGAGAGACGATGGTTTCATTGAGGAAATAAAGCGATTTGGTTGAGGAAGATCATAAACCACACCCCTTCATTCGTGTTCATCAGTACGTAATCGATTATCGTAATAATTCCACAATAATAAACAATCGTTCATAATGAATCTAGGTATATAACCCGAATCTGTGAATCATAATATTCTGGCTTGATGTAAATCCTAGGCTTTTGGTCATTTTAATCTAGAATATTTGCATCTAGATTTGGTTTCGATTTTAAATATGATTCATATTTCTAATAAGTGGTATCAGAGAATTCATCGTTGTTAGATTATTAGGATTTGCGCATATTCTATTCATATGATGTTGAATTATTTTTCTCGAATAGAATGTTTAGATTTTGTGAATTCCTTAAAATTTAAGAATAATTGAGGTCATTTTTTTTTCTTATCCATTCAGATTCAAGAATATCTAAATTGGATTTTGATTTATAATATAATGATTGTTGGTTGTTTTATATGCATTTGGTCATTGAATCAAGTTTCAATTTTGTGAAAGAATTAAGGTTTTTTTTTTTTAATGAATTCAGTTTGTTGAATTGTTGGACACTAAACGTGACCAAAAGTGATGGCCACGCTTACTTGGATTTGAGTGACTTACTATCCATTTTGTGGGCAAGCCCATTTAGACTTGAAAAATGTTTAAAGTTTAAAATAAATTCAAACTGTGGTTTTGATTATTTCTTTTGGATGTCTAGTAGTTTTAATTAAATTGATTGAAACAACATGTTGCCAAAGTAACCCCTGTTGTGTAGATTAGTTTGACTGAAAATACATAGATTTTTCATGCGGAATCATTTATGCGAACTATGCACGGCCCAAAGGAAGACATAGTTGGCCAAAAACAACGCACATACGATGANGAGTACCACTTACAGTTAATTTCTATGTCCAAATACTAGGAATTAATGTTGTGCAAGGTATCTTGAGATGGACCCCCAATTTGGATTATTTGTACATGTCTTATTTTTCTTTATTTTGTTCTCTATCCAGTTTCTGTTACTACTGCTACGAATGTTTCTGCCCAAGTCAATAACATCCCGATGCTGAGCGAAACGAACTTTAAGGTTTGGAAAGAAACCATGGAGATTGTCCTCGGTTGTATGGATTTGGATCTAGCACTTCATTCAGATCGACCCACTTCTACTCCGAAAAACCCCAATGAGGTTAACATTGAGAGGTGGAATCGCTCTAACCGAATGTGCTTGATGATACTGAAACATTCCATTTCGGAAGCGTTTCGGGGCTCTATTACTGAGAGGGAAGCGCCAAAAAGTTCCTTAAGGAAATTGAGCAATATTTTGCTAAGAACGAAAAATTGAAGGCGAGTAACGTTTTGGATAAACTCGTTGCGATGCAGTATAAGGGCAAAGAAAATATAAGGAAATACATCATGGAGATGTCTCATCTCGCATTGAAAATAAAATTCAAAGTGAGTTATAACACTCAAAAGGACAAATGGACCTCAATGAGCTTATATCTCACTCTATATAAGAAGAAGAGATGCAATATCATGATAAGACTGAGAGTGGTCATTTGACGTCAACCTCTCAGAACGAAAAAATGAAGAGAGCTAAGGATATTTTGGAAGGACCTTCTAAGCAGAAGCAACAAAAGAAGTAGGATGAGAAATTTTCTCGCTACTTCTACAAGAAGGCGGGACATATGAAGATTGAGTGTTCCAAGTACGTCGCCTAACTTTTAAAGAAGGGTATGCTTTTAACTTTAGTTTGTTCTGAACTTAATTTAGCTTTTATACTACTCACATGAGTATGTCTATGA